AATTTATCGCCTTGTAATTTAACTCCATTGCTTATCTTGTCTTCTGGAACGACTTCGAACAATAATGCCCTGAGTTTTACGTTGTTATCTTTCATATAATTGCTGTTGTGTCTTGTAACAGTCATGGGCTGATCATACCCAACACTTCCAATTGTTTCTAGCAAGTTTTTTTCTTTCCAGGTCCATTATTTCTTTCTGAGCATTCTTCACTTTTTAGTATACACAAAGAACTGAATGCCATACACTAGTGGCAGTCTGATCCACGTTGCTGCTGTCTTTAATTCATTTGAGTTTTTGTCCATCTGTCATGCAGTTCCATATTTGGATTGTGATGCTTCAAGCATTTAGATTACACAATAGCAATATATGTACTGCTGTTCAGTATGGTTTCCCCACCATTCCATGGCTTTACATCTGATTTTCCTACTACTTTGATTTCCTATAATCTAGATACAGATTATGCATTTGCTGTTGCAATTCATCTTGGCTGGTTTGTTCCATTGTTTCAGCTTGACAAAATCCTTTTGGATATTGATACTGTTCTGTATGGTGTTTACCAACCTCCAACTTTTTCATCTTCAAATGTGATAATCATTTTTAATGCCTCACTCAGGTTATTGATAAACACATTGAACAGCACAGTTGAATAGAGCCTCATGATATGTTTTAACATGTCCAGTTTGCTGTTGTGTTATTGATATACATTTATTGAATAGATAGTCCTCGATTTACAACAGTTCATTTAGTGACCATTCAAAGTTATGTACTGAAAAAAGTACGTATGACCACGTTTTTCTCTCTTAACAACTGTTGCACCATCTCAATGTTAACATCAAAATTCAGATGCTTGACATCTGATGGTTTCAGTATCCTGGTCTTGTCCTCATCTTTTGTGAGCTTCTGACAAGTAAGTCAGTGGGGAAGCCAGATTTACTTAACTTAATTTTACTATTTTAATAGCTGCTGTGATTCATTTAACAATTGTGACAAGAAAGATCATAAAATGGGGCAAACTCAATAAATGTCTCTTGACAATATAAATGTTAGGCTCAATTGTGGTTGTAAGTCCTGAACAGTTCTCAACCAGTTCTGTATCCATATAGTATAGCATAGCATAACCATCTTTAAAACTGTCCAAGAGGGTTATTTAAGACTTTTCTGAATTAAATTTCAGTATTTCCAGTGCATTCCTGAACTTATACTGAAACAGCTGAGTTATTGAGTCATTCTGTAGGGCAGATGATAATCCTAAATAGGCGTGTCTCACTACAAAACAATTGCTAATATTTGGAAAAGGTAAAGAAAAGGTAATACTTAAGTTTCCAGTTGTGAAATGGAAGTACAGTATCTCACAGAAGTGAGTACACCCCCTCATATTTTGTGAATATTTAAGTTTATCTTTTCATGTGACAACACTGAAGAAATGACACTTGACTACAATGTAAAATAGTGAGTATACAGCTTGTATAACAGTGTAAATGTGCTGTCCCCTCAAAATAACTCAACACACAACCATTAATGTCTAAACCCCTGGCAACAAAAGTGAGTACACCCCTAAGTGATAAATGTCGAAATGGGGTCCAAAGTGCCAATATTTTGTATGGCTGCCATTATTTTCCAGTACTGCCTTAAGCATAAGAGTTCACCAGAGGTTCACAGGTTGCCACTGGAGTCCTCTTCCATGATGTATGACGTCATGGAGCTGGTGGATGTTGAGACCTTGTGCACCTCCACCTTCTGTTTCAGGATGCCCCACATGCTCAATAGGGGTTAGGTCTGGAGACATGCTTGGCCAGCCCATCACCTTTACCCTCAGCTTCTTTAGCAAGGCAGTGGTCATTTTGGAAGTGTGTTTGGGGTCATTATGTTGGAATACTGCCCTGACGTCCAGTCTTTGAAAGGAGGGAATCATGCTCTGCTTCAGTATGTCACAGTACATGTTGGCATTCATGGTTCCCTCAATGAACTGTAGCTCGCCAATGCCAGCAGCACTTGTGCAGCCTCAGACCATGACATTCCCACTATGCTTGACTGTAGGTAACACACACTTGTCTTTGTACTCACCGGGTTGCCACCACACACGCTATGACACCATTGGAACCAAATCAGTTTTATCTTGGTCTCAGAGGACCACAGGACATGGTTGCAGAAATCCATGCCCTTAGTCTGCTTGTCTGCAGCAAACTGTTTGCGGGCTTTTCTTGCATCATCTTTAGAAGAGGCTTCCTTCGGGGACAACAGCCCTGCATACAATTTGATGCAGCATGTGGCATATGGTCTGAGCACTGACAGGCTGATCCCCCACCCCTTCAACCTCTGCAACAATGCTGGTAGCATTCATACATCTTATTTCCCAAAGCCAACCTCTGGATATGGTGCTGAGCATGGGCATTCAAGTTCTTTGGTTGACCATGGCGAGGCCTGTTCTGAGTGGAACCTGTCCTGTTAAACCGCTGTATGGTCTTGGCCACCATGCTGCAGCTCAGTTTCAGGGTCTTGGCAATCTTATAGCCCAGGCCATCTTTATGTAGAGCAATAATTTGTTTTTTCAGATCCGTTGCCATGAGGTGCCATCTTGAACTTCCAGTGACCAGTATGAGAACGATAATACCAAATTTAACCTCCTCCTTCACACCTGAGACCCTGTAACACTAATGGGTCACATGACACCAGGAAGGGGAAATGGCTACTTGGGCCCAATTTGGACATTATCACTTAGAGTTGTACTCACTTTTGTTGCCAGGGGTTTAGACATTAATGACTGTTGCGTTATTTTGAGGGGACAGCATATTTACAGTTATACAAGCTGTATACTCACTACTTTACATTGTAGCCAAGTGTCATTTCTTCAGTGTTGTCACATGAAATGATACACTTAAATATTTACAAAATGAGGGGGGTGTACTCCTGTGAGATATTGTAGCTCTTTACTCCATTTTACGTTTACGAGGGTGAGTCAGTGATTTTCTCATACATTCCATACAAACTAGCAACCTTAGTATTACTTTTCATAAGCTAGATATACTAATTGTTGAGCTGTGAGAGATATCAGCCAGACTGTGAGGCTTTGCTAATATCCAGCATTATGTGATACTTCTGAATAACAGAATACTGTATTATTTCCAAATTGAAATACATTCTGAAACAACTTACTGTGTATATGAAGACTGCATTTTTCAGACTTGATTATTTAACCACTACCTGACTCTGTTGTTACCTCCTCATCCACTCCCTTAACTTTCAACTACTATTGACCTCACTCCATTCCTAAGAGTTCTGTAAGGGGCCTGCATAGTGCACAATCGTGTCTACTGTCCCTGTCCTACTGTCCTCATTTATTTGTACCTATTTCCTGTATTCATACTCATTTTATTGTTATACCTATTATCTTGTAAGCGATTGACAAATCAGAGAAATAAACTGCAGGATAATGGTAGCAGAAACAAGTTGAGGCTTCTCTTTCCCTCCTACAATATTTTATGTTCATTATTTGCTACGTTTGCAAAATTTGAATACCAAATTGTTAATGAAATTCTACAATTGCATACAGGTAGCCCTCAACTTGTGACCGCAATTGACCCCAACATTTCTATTGTTTAGTGAGACATTGTTAAGTGAATTTTGTTCCATTTTACTACCTTTCTTGCCACAGTTAAGCGAATCACTGCAGTTAAAGTTAGTAAGTGAATCTGGCTTCCCCATTAACTTTATCAGGTCACAAAAAGTGATCACGTGAATCTGGGACACTGCACCTGCCATAAATATGAGTCAGTTGCCAGGCACCTGAATTTTGATCAGGTGACCATGGAGATGCTACAATGGTCATAAGTGTGAAAAATGGTCATAAGTCCCCTTTTTCAGTGCTGTTGTAACTTTAGTCACTAAACGAACTGTTGTAGAGGACTACCTATATACTAAAGCAATGGAAAAGGCTTGACACTACAATTTTGATAGGAATGATGTCTTGAATATCTGCTTCCCAGATTTGTTTTCATTTCATTTCAACTGTTTAGCGGTTTAAAGTGGGCTTAAAGATTTGTGAACCCTTTTAAATTTAATATTTCTGCATAAATATGACCTCAAATGAATAAAAAATATTAGACTTTTTCTAATGTTAGATCCAAAAATACTCATTTGTGTCTGAAAAAAGTAAAACTTTAATTTCAGTATGGTGTTGCTGAATATTTGGTGCAATCAGTGCTATTAAACAATAGATAACTATTGATGAACCCTACATGTTGGCTTGAAGGAATTTAAACTAATCTTCCTTATCAAACAGCTTCAACTCAGAGATATTGGTGGTCTTGATGAAGTGGTCTTTAGTTCCATTGATGTTACTATGGGATTCTTTGAGACCTCCCAGAGTATTACATGCTTTGCTGTTTGTGTCATCTTGGTTGGTCAACTTCTCCTGGGAAGGATAACAGTGGTGCTGAATTGCCTGCATTTGTACGAAATCTACCTAACTAACAGTAGACTTGTGAAATCCAAATTCTTTGGAAATAGTTATGTAATCTTTTCCATCCTGGTGAGTATTAACTTTTTTTGGAGGTCCTCAGAAATCTTGTTTAACTCATGACACACTTCCATACACTATGCTGTAAAGACAGACTTGATAAGAATACCCAGAATGTTGTTAGGCAAGACCTTATCATTTCACATAACCTCATTCATTGAAATATCTGATTAATTTCCCCTTCAAATGAACTAATAATCCTAGAGGTTAGTACATTTTTGTCACACACATGTAGCTTTGGATCATGCTCAATAAATGATCAAGTATATTGACCTGAATTGGATTATCTAGTTTAATGTGAATAGTATCACATTTTAGATCATATTGATGTAAAAACATTAAAAATTCAAAATGTTTAAGTCCCATTGTCTCAAGAATTGCAAGTATGCTATTACTGTGTGTGTAATGTGTGCTGCTATCATTATTACTGAGGGCATGTGAAAAATTATGAAGTCGTTCAAATGATAAAATGTACCTTCCTCACAAATGCTTTGGGCTTTTTATTTTAAAAATGTGCACTGTATGAAAAACAAAGTTATTAATAGTTATCATATTCTGTTTCCCATCATAAAATTTCAGCAGTAGGTTCATTTACAAAAATTCTTCCCGCTTTCTGAAACTAAAGAACAAACTTCTTTTAAACTTTTACAAAAATGTTAAAATTTGACAATATTCATGATACATTTTGGAAAGTTAGTTGAGAACCAGATCCTGGGTACATAAGTCAAAGCTTTCATGAGTTTTCTGGTGTATCTAGTCAAAAGGTTTTGGATTTGAGAGACCTTAATCTTGGTTCAAAGAAATCAATGCATTTCTTACAACCATTATTTTATTTCACAGCTTTTCAGTTGGTGTTCATACATGCATAATGGTTACTGAGGAAAATTTGTCTAAGGCAATATGGTCAAAGACATTGCTTTGATTAAATTTCTCTTGCTTCTTGAAGAAACATGTCTGCATTTATAAAATCTTTGTGTTAAGCAATTTCAAAGACAGTTACTGTTTGAGCTGAAGATTATTTTTAACTCTTCCTTCATAAATGATTAGAATTGTTCGTTTTCTATGCATTGGCTCCCCATATACATAATGGCATATTATATACATATTTTTTCTTAATTCTATTGAACTTATTGTGAAAAAATGTACAGTTTATATACAGAAAACAGTATCATACATACTGTATACCCTTTTCCTGTAACAGATAATCTGTATCCATAAGATAGAAAACCAGCCTCATGCTTTTACACCATGAATTCCAAGAAAACATAGTAATGAAATATGAAATTAAATGCAGTGACTCCCAACATTTTGTAGCAAATGTCCATAAATTTATCATGACATTTGCTTGCTTTCTAAAATGGACAAAATTGAAGTCTAATAAACCTGTTGCTCAGATAACGACTAGTCTTGTAAAATGTCTGTTGTAATGTACTCCTGGTATCAGAAAAACACTCTTCCAAGTTCAAACATGACCTGCAACATAAAACAGAATTTTGCTAGCTTGCATGCTTATTTGGCTGATTTCTATTTTTAGTGTTCACACAAAGTGCTGTATGGCAAGGCATCAGGGATCAGTAACTTCCAACCCAGAAGCACAAAAGATTTTTTTGGGGGGGGGGGCGGGGGGAGAACGACGACCCAAAACAGCAGAATGAATACTGAATTCTACACAGTGGTCATGGAATGGGAACAAATGGGGAGGGGCTATAGAAAAGAGAAGCATTGTAAGGTGGAAAATGCATGGAGATAGAACAAAGAATATACTGCATCACTGCTACGCTTTTGCAAGTTTAGTGAATTTAAATTTATTCCCTGTATTATTTTGAAATACAGCTCTTCCAAACTTTTTAACTATTTGGAACCTGTTAACTATGGCTGTATTAGGACAGAGGGCTATCCGATTTATAATGGTAACCAGGGAATTTATTATTATTTATTAAGCTTATGGCCTATCTCAGTTTGAGGTGACTCTGGATGACTTACAGTGTAATAAAACAGATGACAGATTTCAACTGCAGCAGCAGTGGTGCCTGCTCTGTCACTGCACCAACCACTTCCAGCCTATGGCTTTTCCTTCAGTGTGCCCATGCCAGAAGAGGGAAGATCTCATTTCTGGTGGCAAGAAGTTCCAAAATATGGAAGGGGTCAGGGAGAGGCAAAAAAGGATCATCCCCTGGACCCTACCAGCTAAAATTCCTTAGCTGATGGGATCTGCAGTAGGTTCCTGCCAGAATGAGTAGGCTGATCCCATTAGGGAAAGATTTCTCAGACACCCTGCACCCATGCCATGGAGAGTTTTAAAGGCTTTAAATAACCAATATATTGAATTGGACCCAAAAGCACATCAGCAACCAGTGCAACTTGTGTCAACTGATGTTACATGTGCCACCTAGAGACTTTCAAAATTGCACTGCCACATTTTGGACTAATTGTAGATTCCAAATAACTGTTCAAAGATAGCCCCAGGTACAGTGCATTACAATAATCCAAATGAAAGATGACAGAACACAAGTGCTTGAGTGCCTGGCCTCACAATCCAGAAAAGGGCACAGTTGGTGCACACCACAAAGTTATGCAAAGGGTCTCCTAGCCACAACTGCCTAGAATCCCAAGTCCCAAGACAACTACTGTGTTGCACACCAGATGTGTCTGGTAGTGCCACCTCCTCCAGCACAAATTTATTTATTCTTCAGTAGCCAGCTTTGCTCTGATGTCATTTGCTGTTAGGAAGGCCTGGATAGGTGAGATTTACCCTTTTCTATTACTCCCTTCTGTGTCTATCCACCTTGTTTGCTTGCATATTGAAATAGTTTTGGGGGAATGGATAGTTATTCTTGCCTGTGTACTAGTATTTGCTGAAGGCTTTAGCAATTAGTCTATTAGCTGAGTTTAGCACTAGAATAGGGATTTACAACTTTCCTCCCCCAGAGAGCAGCATTTAGCCTTTCAGTTGTGGAGCCAGAAACAAAAAATAAATGTTATTTAATTAAACTTAATTACTATGATTACTCCTCATGTATTCAATCTATTCTCATCCTTTGCATTATACATTTGGAAAAATTCAAGGCCATTCCTATGATTTGGGGTATTGCAGCATGAGTAAGCTTCATACTTTCTGGTATGGATACAACACTATCCAGGAAAGTTCTATGAGCTTGGAGTGGTGACAATGGGAGAATGACATGGGATGATAACGTACTTAAATTTAGTCACCATTTTTTCAGTGGATATTTAGCTATAACGTTCTTGCCTTGCTCCTAACAATTGCTCTCCAAAATGTTGAGATAAAGACTGTACCTTTAGATAGTAAGAATTTCAAGACTGGAGGACAGAATTTCTAGGCCTTTGCTGAACAAAAATATCTAATAAAGAATACATCACTCCAATGACAACAGAGGAAGAGGTTTCCATTGTATTTTTGATTGGGACTATCTTGCATCATTGAATTCCTAAACAGTGCTATTGGCAACACAAAGTAAAACAGGCAATAGAATATCCAATACATGTAAACAGCATGTAAAACATTAAATTACCACTAAATCTTTGTCCAGCCTACATACCTTGGAATATACAAAGCAATCCAACATGCACTGTAATGAACTTATAAGTTGGTCTGATTTATATGGCTATAAAATAAGGCTGTGGGTGTAAAGTAAAATAGTATAGTAAAATTGACAAGCTATTTACTATCCTGATTTCTTTACTTTTAAATAAATTTATGGAAACTATTTTCAAGTTATTTGGAAACTTGTCTCTTGTCTAAGGAAACAGAACTTTTCAACATTCTTCAGTGAACTTTTCAACATTCTGTGTATGTTTTAAGAAACAATTTTAGTAAACCAACCTCTATTGTGATGAGTATCACTATCATCCATTCCAACCGCAGAGCATGTTTTTCATTCAAATGATTTCTCATCAGATCTGTCAATTCTGTGCACTGCTGGAGCTTTTCATTTACTACCTTCAGTAGCAAGGATAGAAAAGTTGATGTTTCAGAAAACCCTGAATAAACAATTTCTCAATATAAGTTACTTCCAGAGATGAATTTATTGAAATAGAAAATATGGAGAATTATATCACAATGTTTTTATAAACTGAATACACTAGAGTGGCTGAGACTCAGTACTCAGAACAATTCATAAGTCTTGGGAGATGTGATTTTTTCAGCATTCACACAACAGATTGCAACATTAATCCCAGGCTTTAATTTTCTTTCTCCACTTGCATGCATTTATAAACTTAAATGGAAATATATTTTTCTATTCAGCATTTCTTGTATCGAACTTAAGGAAATATTTAGGTAACAGCCCTCATTGCAATTGCTCTCTGAAGCATTTAGTTAAATTGTGTAAGATACCCATCACAACCTAGTATACCTGACTAATAATCAAGGTTTAAGTCTAGATTAGCAAAACCCAGCTAACAATGCAATAGGGTTAAATATGCTCAAATCTTTAATAAAGTTAACAGCAGAGAATTTCAACACAAAAGTAGAAGCAAATCCTGAAATAAAGCCAAATGTAAAACAGTTCAGTTTGGCAGTGTGAATACATATCTATTTTTATATATTCACATAGATTGCTTAATTGCAGCATTTTACTCCTGAAAGGCCATAGCTGAAGGTTCTCTATCATGGAACTCAGGGGGGTCAAAAAAAGCTTTTTGTGCTCTTTTATTTGCTACCCGAAAAAAAAATACTTAACTTAAAAAAACAAATTTGAGATACATGGGGCACAAATGTGTCATTTCACTATGAAATTATAGTTAAAATGCTGCAGAATCCTAAGGTAACTTATGTATTTATTAAAGTTACCTTATTATTAGATTACTAATAATATTTATTCCATGCAGGCATTATGTATCTTGTGGGTCAGACCATACTTAGATATATACATAATGTGAATTCTATAAAAAGTCTATTTTTTAAAATCCATGGTTCCCCAAATGGAATTGTCAATTTCATTATTTCTTATTGGACTGCGAAGATTCTGTAAAGTTTTTTTAAAAACCTTTTTTTTTATCCCTATGCATTAATATAAAGACAGTAGTGAGGCCATTTTATTCCTGAATCCCATTATTCATACTGTCATGGGAGCAATCACATCTTAGAAAGCAAACTTATAAACCTTTTTACTTAATTTCATTTCAAACAACTGGCCTATATCAAGGGCAGCCAAAAACTACCTGTTCAATCTGTTACTGTATTAACACATATTTACATACTAATACTACCTATAACTATAGTCCAGAAACCAGTAAGAATATGTGGAATCTAGGGAAAGTTTCATGAATATTGTTACAGATTGTTACCTAGCGAGTTGGTTCATCCCAAATAATAATGCTCTGTAAAGCTAAACTGATTCCTGCTACACTACCATACATCAAAAACATTTCAGAAACGATCAATAGACAATTATAACCACATCACTGTAGTACGTAAATCAACTGAAGCCCTCCAAACCATGTTATGTAAACCAAATGACTTAGCCAAGAAGAAAAACCAGAACTCATCTATAACAAAGTGTAAGGACTGTAACAGCTAGTGTGTAGGACAGACAGGCAGAAGATAGCAGAACACATTAATGAACAGCATTTAGCAACTGGAAGATACAATGAAAACTCATACCACATAGAAAGAATGAACTGTAATTTCAACTGGAAAACAGCATCCTAGACCAAGCTAAATCCAAAAAAACTACAGAATTCCTGGAAGCTCAGCTTTCAGGTAAGTTCATCCATTAATATACAAATAGAGATAAATCACATTTACACAGCATTTAAGAGAAATAATAAAAAGCTAAGAAAAACAAAAAGACCAGAACGCATTCTCTCCAGCAACCTACACCCAGATAATCAGGGATTAACAGACAAAACAAGCAAAAAGCAATACTCTAGTTAAGGAACTACCAAAGAAAAAGTTACATTTCCACCAACACTGGGAAGGCAAACTACTGTATATAAAAAGAGAGGGAAAGCCCCACACTCACAGCACTGATGTTATTTTGTCAATAATGAAACATCTGCAAACAACCAAGTTTAGAGAGCACCAACGACTCCACAGTTCAACTCTGACCTACTTATGTTCTCTTCTACTGAAAAGTGAATTTTGTAGAAAGTAGTACTTTATGTTCACAAGTTCCTGATTGGATTTCTAAACATTTTTTTTTGTTGCCATCCAACAACCATCTTTTTCTAGGGGGATATCAAGATACACTTCTGCAATATTCCCATGGTAATATATTGTACATATTTTAAGAAAAAACATCCAAGTAATTTTTAGAGTCAACCATTAATCAGAAAGTACTCTAGAAAAAAGCAAAACAGTTAGCAGAGAACCAGTAAAAGCAAGTTTCTGTGAAAAACTCCACTTGCTAAATTGTTGGTAATAACTGTTCCTCCACCCATCAGAATTACATGAATTTAAGAAAAAGGGTAAACTTGTCATAAAACCTCCCCGAAAGTTACAGAATGCACTGGTTATGTCTGCATAAAACAATGAAGCTAGAATCTGGCTTATTCACAACAGCATGTTGAAGCTCACTGCCTGATTGTGCCCAAACCATTCCGCCTGGTAGTGAGAACAGCTATACAAAAATCACAAGAAAGAAGCATCTCAAAACTAGCATTCTACTTGTCCTTCTGAACAATCCAAGGATACAGTTCATACACATTGCTAAACCATTTAGAATTGGACTACCATTTTATGCAAATAGAAAATATTTATAAATTGTTCCTAAAAGAAATATTTCAGCAGGCAGTATAACAATGTTTGTCCAAAAACAATGAAGATGAAAACAGAAAAAATAAGATTTGTTAAGAGAAACAATTGGTTTTTTAAAAAATCCTCTAAACTTAGATAAAAATAATAAAATAATACCTTAACTCTGCGATCAATACTAAGAAACCGATACATTTTATCATACAGTTGTTCAAGATGTTCTCTGTCCCAATAGAAATCTGGGGTAATCAACAGATCAGAACTCAGATTTATATGATGCCTGAAGAAGAGAAGATAAATTCTTATTTGAAAGCCAGTTAATGAGTTGCATTTTGAATACTGCACTGTAATAAGTTGAGACAAACAAGTACTCTGGACAAACACCCTTCATGTAGCAAAAAACTGTTACATTCTCAGTGCTACAGAACTTACAGTTAAGTTTTTCATCTCCAAATAAACATTCTATTCTTTTAGAACCTGATTAAAGCTTTATATACAACATGTTATCACCTTTTATTTATGCGGATATATGCATATTACTATAAACTTAGGTTATCAGGAGTTGAAGGAAATACAGAATTTATCAAGTTTACAATTTAACAGCATAAGCATTATCATTTCCAGTTTTTAATACATTTATATTAGGAGTCACATCTCAACAAACCCCCTTGCATAGTGATTTTTGCATCATTTCATGGGGCATATTCTAATTATCCAAACAATCTTGACATTTTAATGGAATGTGACTTTGGCTTAGCTGTAAATGAGCCTTTCCATTGTATTTAAGACTGTTTCCTATTCTTTAGGTTTTTGTTCCTTACAAGGGTTTGCATGTTCTCTCATAGTGAATTGGCTTCTTAAGGAGTAAATGTTATTTTTTACTTTAAACATAAAACATTTTAAAAGACTATGCTAGATTTATAGGTAGAAATATAACTATCACTACATAAAAAAACTACTGGTATTAAAAATAAAAAATAATAATTTTTATAATAATAATAAAAAACAATATACAATGGGATTAGTTTGAAGGTTTATCTTTGTGCTGATATGTGGTGGAAGATAATTAAAAGTAAGGACCTGGAAAATAAATCACATTTTAACAGGAAAATAAGAAGATGCTTATTGGTATTAGATTGATACATGTAAACTCCGATTTCTCTTAAAAATTGGTTCTATTAAAGGACAATAGTCTAGGTGCAGAAGAGAGAAATATAATTGTACCACTTTAGAAATATCACACATTTAAAAAGCAAATTATACATGGCAGTATATTATATACATATATATGTGAATACTATCGTGGGTTTTTTTTGTTAAAAGATTGTTTTTGAAACTGACTCTAAAATGCAATCTTTTGGCTTGTCTTTAATTCAGATACCTCAAGGCAAACAGTTCTCCAATTTTCTGCATAACATCAGCATGAGAGAGTTTCAGTTTCTTTCTTAATTTAAGCATCTGTAAGAAGAGCGTAATAAACCAGTAAGAACATTTGATGTTTTTTAGATGTACAATATTACCCATCCCGATGCCAACTGCACTCTTTACTTGAACTGGCAGAAGCAATTCTGATGACAATAAAGATTTATCCTGAATTTCTGGGAGGACCTGAGTCTGGGAGGACCTCCAGATTGTGCACTGATTCTGTCTGATGCAAATCAACCAATGCAGAACCAAAGATGACAAATCCCCAGGATTGATTCAAAGTAATTAGATAGTCTTATGTTTTTATAAGACCCAACCTTCAATTCAAGTCCTTATGTTTTGCTCTTCACTACTACCTAGGGAACACAATATTTTGCCATCTTCAACATACAACTGCTACATTGATTGTTTTTTCTTTTACTTTGAACATATTTAGACAACATTCTTCTTTCCTTAGTATAATATGCCAGCCATTCTGAATTTTAGCTTTCCTAACAACTTCTCTAGAGTTCTGAACAGTCTATACATTTTTATTGGTGGCCTATTCCTCTTTCTACTCCTATATTTAACTCTATCACAGAGATTCATTTTCTAACAAAAGGATCGACTTTACCATATTCTATCATCTACAAAGTGAATAAGAAACAAGTCTAAGTTTAATTAACTGTGAGATGTTATATTTTTATATTTCAAATTTCATGCAGGTTTTTCTATTTGGCATCCTGTATATTGAAGCTTTATTGACATGAAGATTATAAGCATGAAGTCAATCTACATTCAAGCAAATAGTTTGCCACAACAAAAATAAAATAGGTATAATTAAAACAACAGGGTTTTCCCCTGAGACATGAGTTTAATTAAGCATTTTGTAAAGTCACTGAAGTTAACTTGAAAGTGTTTCATGTCTAACTTCAAATTTAATACAGTTTCACTGAAATTTTGATTTGGCAAATCCCCATTCATTTCTTGTGTCCAGGAAGATGTGGTAAATACAACAATCCAAATTCATTCATCTACAGTATGGTGTAAAAAATCTGCAAAATTCCCATACTTAATTTTATGGAAGAATGAAAAAAAATAGCAAGTACCTCAGGTATTGATTGGATAGATTCTACAAAATTATCCAGTGATGCTTCCCAAATGGCCAGTTTTACTACATTAGAGAAAAGCATAAAATGTATTATTCATATGTACTGCACTTCCAAGTTTTATCTCAAAATAAAATATTTAAATTTTTACTGTCCAGTGCTTGACAAGTAATGTTGGTATGCTAATTATTGCTTTTAAACTTTAAAGTAGGTACAAGTTTCTGATTTTAATGGAGGGACAGCAATTTGTCCATTAACCTGGTATGTTCTTTTTGACACAGTGTAATGTAAAAACCTTCCTTGCATGATACAGCATAATTTACAAATCAAGTCAAAACTGCTTTTTCAAGTATTTTTTTTAAAATCCTGGCATAGCGTTTTAGATGAACCATTTTACCATTTTATATGAACCTAACCAATTATTTCTCTGCTCTAAGGAGCAACTAAGATGGTTAAAGGCCTGGAGACAAAAACATATGAAGAATGGTTGCAGGAATTGGGTATGGCTAGTCTAGAGAAAAGAAGGATTAGGGGTGACATAATAGCATTATTCGAGTATTTGAGGGTCTGCCATCAAGAAGAGGAGGGGGTCAACTTATTTCCCAAAGCCCCAGAAGGCAGGACAAGAAACAATGGATGGAAACTAATCAAGGAGAGAAGCAACCTGGAAGTAAAGAGAAACTTCCTAATAGTGAGGACAATTAAACAGCTTGGAACAGCTTGTCTTCTGAATTTGTAGGTGCTTCATTACTGAAGATTTTAAAGAAAAGACTGGAAAGCCACCCGTCTGAAATGATATAGTTTCCTGCTTGAGAAGAGGTTGGATTAGAAGACCCCCAAGGTCCCTTCCAGCTCCATTCTGATCGATAATAGCTTTCCTACCAAAAAAAGTAAAGGTAACATTTCTACTGCCCCATTCAATCAAAATATTCTATTCCCAATTCACATGATTCAATCATAAACCTTCCATTTCATGCTCCTTTTGGCCAAAAGGGAAACATTACCAAGTAGGAATGCTTAAATTTTATACAGACTGCTAAAGATAATGCACATTGTTTCTTCTGTTTCTCAGAAGTAGTTTGACATTGCCTCCTTCCTAGAACTGAGAGAAAGTGATTATCCCAAGGTCGCCCAGCTGCCTTCGTGCCTGAAGCAGGACTAGATGGTACTAGCCTGACGCTTTATCCTCTTCATAAAACTGGCTCTCAAAGGTGGTATTAAGGGTCACAAGTCTATAGTGAAGCATAAATTATTTGCAATGGCATAATCTACGTACTACTAAATTTTTTGTCTATCAAGGTTCTCAGTCATCCAGGTCATAGTTGTATCAAAAGGCCCAGTTGCTTTTTCAAAAATAAAAACCACTTTTGATATTAAAACTTTTGTTGTCATGACTTTGAACTAGGTGAAACACTGTTCATAGGGTAACACATTTTGAACCAAGGTCCCTCAAATGAGCTAAACTACAGCAGGTGTCCAAAATCTGGCATCATGACGTGTTGAGGGCATGAAATTTGGAAAGATTGTGGTTGATTCAGTGTTGCTGGCTACTAGTGTGGTTATGTGAACTTTATTTTGTGGCAGTTTGCCATTAGTCTCACAATCCCTTGCTCCCTCTCCCACCCAGCAAGAACCACTTACCTGCCTATTGGAACAATGAGAGCAGCTGATTACCTGCCTATTGAAAGGGGAAGAGAGAAAGGAAGGGAATGGAGATTTCTGTTGTTCCCTACCAAATTTCCACAAGGAAACACAATGGGGAAGCCGGCAGGAAATTGGCTGCTCCCATTGTTTTTTGGCCTAAAATTTTCCATTTAGGTAAGGAAATATCTTTGAAACAATAACCCAACAGGTGTGGGTTGTCTCTTTCTTTCTTCCTTCCTTCCGTCCTTTCCTTTCCTCTTTTATTATTTTTCAGTCAGTATGCAGGAGAAAGTACTGTGAAACTCAGCAAATTGTTCAAAATAGTTGTAACTATAGATGCTTCATGCACAGTATTTTTGAGTGCTTTATTCATTATAAATACATTCATGAACTCCATTTCCTCCCAGATTTCAAGTAATAATACAGATAATTAAATGAAATTATATGATGGACAGCTTACCAGAAAGGCAGAGAGCATTGGAAAAAGCAAACTTCTCTAAAATGAATTCATCCATTTCTAATTCTGAATTTATCAAGATTTCTCCTCTATGAAGTTTTGACTGCCCTCTACAAAAAAGACATGGATAGGTTCAGATAACTTGCTGTTCCCCCATCAGTCCCAGCCAGCATTACTATTGTCTAATAGTGACTCAAATGAGTGTTAGAAGAACCAGTAGGACTGTGTAATAAAACATGAACAGGTATCTTCAGTCTGTTCATAAGAATAAAATAAAATAAAATTTAGGAGAACCTGACCCTAATATTGGTCTTATTCCACATGTGAATGTCTGTTCTTTTGTATAAGTGAATTTTTGTTTCTTTTATTGTATTTTTTTTCCACTTAAAATCTCAACAGTGTATACTCAATCCACATAAAAGTGGTAATACTTTGTACGGAGTTGAGTACAGTGGCCTTGATGATGCTCAAGCAGAACACTGGTAGTTTGTGGCTGTGTAGTACGGGTCAGTCTTTTAACAACTGAAATATATAGACTGTCCTCAACATACAACTACAATCAGAATCAGAATCTCAGTCACTGAGTGAAGCAGTCATTAAACGAAATGTCCATGTAACTGCTTCACTCAATAATTGCAACTTGGCATTCCCAATTCCAGTTGTTAAGTTGTTTCCTGGGTCTCTGAGCAGATGGAGTGAAAGAGCTGCCTGTGTGATGGAATGTGCAGCTGGAGAAAGAGGTGGAGGGAATGTCAGCAATAGCTTCCCCGAAACCTCACTAATTTCTTGTTTTACAATGGAATTATCAATATTTTTTATGAAGAAGTTTATGAAATACCTAGGTGCTATGATACAACTTGTATCTGAAGATATGTTCAGAATATATGTTCTAGAAATAATTATCTGTCAAAATCTCTACCATTATTAACCTGTGGCTTCAATGGAAATCTCTGTGAGTTTATGGCATTCGCATACTTACTCTCCTCTTCTATAGCTGATCTCTTCATTTTCCCAGTGAACTAATGCAATTTCATAAGGCTGGATCTGATGTTTTTCCAGCTTTCGAAAAATATTCTTTATCTGGGAAACAGATTGTAAATTAAAGCTGATAGCAAGTTCTGAAGATGCATTAGATACATTTAGACCAGCGGTCGCCAACCAGTGTGGCTGTGAGAAAATTTTGGTGGGCCACAGAGAAATCTCAGCCCCAGAGCACCCCCCCAAAGCAATTAATCCAGGCTGCGCAGAAACACAAGGCTGCGCCACCCACATGGCCTGTGGGAACCCTTCCCGCCCACTCCTTACCCTGCAAACTTGCCTGCTAAGTTGCTATTTTTCCTTTTTCTGACCATCATCTGTTATGCTGTGCCAGAAGATTTATATTAGCTAGGAAGCAGGAAAGGGTTGGATTTCTTGCTTTCTAGCTAGTCTTTAGATCTTCGGCTCTGCTTTTAAGCACAGCCGAATCTCCCTTAGGACTGAAGGTTCTATTATTCAGTGCAGACTCAGGGCAAGCAAATTTTATGTGACAGACTCAGGTAGCCGATGGCAGATAGATTGATCTCTGAATGAATCTGTGATTCTATGAGCAACTCAATCTGCCTACCTGCTTTTGGGTAAAAGTTACCCTTTTTTAATAAAAAAATCAATATTTACATACATGCTGTGTTGTGAGTTAATTTTGTGAGTTTGCTTGCTAGCAAATTTTATGAGTTTGCTTGCAAGCAAATTTTATGTGACAGACTGAACTAGCTGATGGCAGATAGATAGATCACTGAATGATTCTGTGAGCAACTCAATCTGCCTGCCTGCTTTGCCTGATTTTGGGTAAAAGTTGCTCTTTTTTATAAAAAAAATCAATATTTATATAAATATTTATAATATTTAAATACAAGCTATGCCCAGCCAGTCACATGACCACCAAACCACACCCACAAATTAGGCCACATCCACAGAACCAGTTAGTGGTCGCTGAGATTTAAAATTATGAGTTTGGTGGTCCCTGAGGTCCAAAAGGTTGGCGACCCCTGATTTAGACTATTGACCAAAATGCTTTCACTCTCTTGTGAGAAGAAAATTGTGTCAACAAGAAATAATAACAAGGAAAACAAAATAATTCCCTATTCCAGTTTTTTCCTCACAAGTATTTGTGCAAGGTAGAGAAGTGTTTACAAGGAAGAATTAGCTAGAGGTTGTAAATTTATGCCCATAAACGCCTTCATGCATTTATTTGTTTATAACCCAGGTTATAAGAGCTGTGCTGGCACAGTGGTTAGAATGCAGTATTGAAGGCTAATTCTGCTGATTGCCAGGTGTTTGGTCCCGACCGGCTCAAGGTTGACTCAAACTTTCATCCTTCCGAGGTTGGTAAAATGAGGACCCAGATAGTTGGGGGCAATATGCTGACTCTGTAAAATGCTTAGAGAGGGCTGTAAAAGCACTGTGAAGCAGTATATAAGTCTAAGTGCTATTGTTAGTGCTACTGTATTAAAATTACGAAAGCAGCCTTATTATTTTAGAAAAAAATAATAAGAATTTGTTAAAGAAAATCAGCAAAATCACAAAAATTAAAAAACCTTTTTTTCTAGGTATTTTCTTCTTACAAATGCCATCTGATCAAATGTTCATGTTACTTTCATGAAGGCAAATTTGGAAATCCTTGTTTCTCAAAAGAAATATACAGTCAGTTTCCTTTTAGAACCTGGCTGTACTTCTGCATTTCCACAACTTATTGTATATATCATTCCTGATTATTTTACCATGGTGAATATCAAAAAAGTTTTTACTATATTCTCAAAAAATAAATAAATCTGTGGATAGATAGAAAACCACTGTGAAATAGTTGGGAAATTATGTAATTTGAATCCTTTGGAAGACATGGCATCACAAAATAGCAATACTAATAAAGCAGATTGGAAAGTTAAATATAAAAATGGTTAATAATCCTTGCTAAATATTTTGCAGAGATAGCATTTCAACATACAAGAAAAAGCTGGGGGTAAGCCACAAAAACCCAATAATAAATAAAATCCCAAATCAAATACGAACTATTAATCTATATTAAAAATCTGTATCTTCTTTTCTTCCCTTTGTTGTTATGCTGAATATTACTAAGGCTTTCCTACTTTATGAGTTTTTGTGCCAACATGTTGATTGAATTAATTGTGACACCTCTGAGTCAGATAGTTTCTTTTGACAGCATACAATTTGCTCTTAGGTTAATAAACCTATTTCTTTTTTTCATTAGAAAGCAGATTGAAATGGACAGGTATGTCAGAATTACTAATCATTAGCAAGGAGAAAACTGTCTTTCATTTTAGATGTCATCTTAGTACTTACCTGGTTTTACAAGGATATTGTTTGGAAATATGCTAACTCAGATTTTTCAAATGACTTTCAGAATGTTAATGTTACAGTGATTAAACATGTTACAGTTAATTTCATAAAGTCTGAATAATTGTTACTTTAATTAATAGACTCGGCCTCATTATTCACCTGTTTCCTTCTGAATTAGGATAAAGGTTCCAAAAAATGTAGGACAATTTCACTTTACTTTAATCATCAAAATTTTCTCATTTGATTGTGTTCAGATTAATTAGCTAATTTGCTCTTTTATTTCACACTCTGGAAAGCTCTTTCATTTCAACATGCTATATTTCCTATAGCAGGATGCTCTTCCAGCATGTTTTCCTATAGCAGAATGCTGTTACAGCAATGCAATTACATCTTCTGTTTCCGATATGTTCAAGGAGATGCCATTTTTTGTTGGTATCATATTACAGCATTCTAAAAATAAAACTAATAGTCTAACAAAACAGGTTATGTCAGATATATAGTTAACCCGTATCCCACTTCAGAAGGTAATTTATAAATAATTTATTAATATGTTGATTATCCTCATTCATACACCAAAAGTGGTTTACCTCCAGAAACCTGCCTTCTACTTACTGTTTTTTCTTCAACATTCCAAAACACAACAGACCCTTCCCTATAAGAAAAAAAATTACAAATAATGTTAAACTAATGGGTTGTATTTTAAGCTTCAAAAATGCAATTCCTAGAAAGAAGCAATTCCCTTTCCATTCTTGCTTGCCTTTAAATGTTGAACCAGTACACTATTATTAGTGTCCAAATGATATTTGTTTTAGTGATACCAAGAATTTTAAAGATTAATATTCAACTGAAATCAGAATCTTTCTTGCTGGGACTAATAGAGAGATAACTGGAAAAGAGTTATGGAAGATTCTTTTTGTATGTGATAATCTGCAGCAAGATTACTATATGCCCAAAGTCAAAAGACTCTGAATTACTACAATGGAGGAACGTTGGTGAAGATGACAGAATTTGTAGAGGGCAAAATTGATTTGTTTGGTTAGGGATAACTATACTTGTTAGCAACTAGAAACCCCTTATGGACTTTTTGTTGGAAACAGAAAAAAATGAATTTATGATTAATGGATTTGAGGATTTGAAAGGGCAGAATATGGGTAGAAGGGAGCCACAATATAACCATAATGAGAGAGAATAAAATATAAATACATTTATAATTGCTGTAAACAAGGTTAGAAGCCACTTCTTTATGTAAATATTTTCCTGTCTTACTTAGTTGATCATTTTTCCTTGGTCTTCTTTCTTAGTTCTTAGTTAATTCTGCCTAGTGGAACTCAAATTTCTGAGGATGAAACAGCAGCCTTGTTTCTGGCTATGGATACTTGTTTCATCCTTGTCTTAGTTTCTGCACTACACGCAATTCTCAATTTGACCACAATTGATACCAAAATTTCCATTGCTAAAGAAGCCAGTTAAGCAGTCCCCCCCCCCCATTTTACAATTGTTTTAGCCACAATTGTTAAGTAAATCACTGTATTTCTTAAGTGAACCATGCAAACATTAAGCAAATCTGGCCACTGATTTTCTTGTCAGAAGCCATCTGAGGTTATAAAAGGAGATCACTTGATCCTGGGACAGTGCAACTGTCATAAATACATGACAGTTGCCAACTGCCCAAAGTTGATTATGTGACCATGGAAATGCCGCAGCAATCATAGGTGTAAAAACTGGCAATAAGTGACTTTTTAAAAAAAGTGCCATTGTAACTTCAAATGACCACTAAATATAGAATGGTGAGGACCACTTGTAGTTATTGGTAGGCTTCTTGACTCAATTCCAAGTATTGAAAGAGCCATGGTGGTGCAGTGGTTAGAATGCAGTACTGTAGGCTGATTCTACCCACTGCCAGGAGTTCGATCCTGACCAGTTCAAGGTTGATTCAGTCTTCCAACCTTCGGAGGTTAGTAAAATGAGAACCCAGATTGTAGGGGGCAATATGCTCATTGTGTAAAACCACTTAGAGAAGGCTGTAAAGCACTATGAAGTGGTATATAAGTCCAATTGCTACTGCTATTGGTCATTACCCTTAAAACCCTAAGGAACACAGCATCAAGATTTATCATGGACCAACTTACCAAACAAGATTCTGCCTGTTTGATCCCTGCTAGAAGCCCTACCTTCACCAAAGTAGGAGAGGTATGGGTTAGAAGGCAGGTACTCTCAATAAAAACTACCATAGAAGCTTTTCAAATCTATTTAGCACCAAATCTCCTTGTGTTCTGGAAAGCTCTGAAAACAATTTCTATTTTTTTATTCATTTTTGATTTCCATTTTTGATTCATAGAATTCATAGAATAACTGTGGCCAACCATTTGATTATATTTTGTTGCCTTAATATTTCTGTATGTTTTAATAAGCTTGATCTTTTCTTCTTGTAAATGCCCCAAGACTGTTTGACTGGGGAGTTCTACAAATATTGTAAATAAATAATCATCACTAAAATTCTGAATGACACTGAAGAAATAAATCTGTAATTTTCCTTTAGGTGGAGATGAAACATTTAGCTCACATATGCCACATTATTGGTCTTTACTTACTTGAAGAAAAATATGATCCCCAAATCATGATCTTTGGCCGTCCTTTCTGTGCCAACCACCAAAACATTTGCTGCATCTAGTTTTCAAAAAATCTTATATGAGATTATATTGTAAAAAATAGAAACAATCATATTTAGCATGCACCTTATACCCAAGATATTTTTTTTTATTAAGAATGTCTCTTTCAAATCTAATTGATCTCCTGGTGACTTCATCAATAAGACTATCACTTTTTTTTTCTTCATAAAAATGGAATTTTTCCAGGATATTTTATTTTCCCATCTATCTTATGGCCCTCATATTCCCTATGGGATCCCTTTGAAATATTAAAATGGGACAATCCAGTTTGCTTTCTGAATCCAGACAAGATTAGGTAAAAGCTGCTAACTGGTAAGGTTCTGTGAGCTTTACAACTTATAAATATGAATAAAATTGTGTGCTGTTTGTCACATGCAGTGCAAGCATGTATCAGAGCACGCTGACAATTCCAGTAGTTTCTCAGCAACAGACTATCAGAATCAAAGTGAAGACAGAGAGATATTTGCAATTCCCATATTCTAAATTAAGCTACAAACTTAACATCAGCTGTGATGGCGCAGTGGTTAGAATGCAGTATTACAGGCTAACTCTGCCCATATCCAGAACTTCGATCTAGATTGGCTCAAGATTGATTCAGTCTTTCACCCTTCTGAGGTCAGTAAAATGAGGATTGTTGGGGGCTATATGCTGACTCTGTAAACTGAGGAGTGGTATATAAGTTTAAGTGCTATTGCTACAACATGATCATTTATAATAAAACTGAGTTAGTTTATATTGATCTTCTAGCATTGATATAATAAATTAACACAAAGTTAATTAGTGACATTTATTATTCAAATTATCACTTCTCACATAGCATTTAATAGAATTACTTTACAATGTGTAATTACCACATTATATCCTTAAACAGTTTTCATTTAAACCCAGTGAGCTTTTTAGTTCCTTAAGAGCCCTGAAAGCAGACCATGCACAAACACTTATGTAGATGTACTTCTACACCAATTATTCACTTTATTTCTTTGAAGTAAATGTTAGCATCTAGGCCACATTACAGCACATACTTAAGTGTCAAGCAACATTTCTAGAAAGAAAGTGTACAAAACCTGTTTGATGATGTATATCTGGAAAAGCATCAGTAAACAATAAATGATCTACTTGAAATAACTGTTCAGAGCTCTACCTCTAGGTAACGTGATTTCAACATATCCAGATGAGACCAGGTCAAGGCATAAATTACCAAGATGATAGGCATCTGCTGTTGCAAAGGCTATACATTGCATCACATCCTATGCCAAAAAGAACAGAATTTCTTTTAGAAAACACTTAGTTGCCTCACTCACTCGAACTGCTTTACTAGAGAGTGCTATACAAACTTATTGATAGCATTTTGCCACTAAATGGCTAAAATTCTGCATAGAATGATAGTTATTTTTCAAAAGCCTTACACTTAAGTTTCAAACTTGCTTCACTGATATACGGATAGACAAATATCTCCTCTGGATCTACTGACCAACTTCAAAAACTAGTTCTTTGGAAGATTATGATTTAGAGAAAGATACAAGTTTATATATTCATAACAAGCTTATGCTACACTATCAATTCTAGGCAGATATAATTTGGCTATCTGCCATTGATGTTAAGATGTTTTGTTAAAGGCCAGTAAGATGTGATCCTGTATGGCCTCTTATTCCCTAAAACCGGGGTTTCCAACCACAGTCTGCAGCTTGGGAGACTAGGGTCTGAAGCCTGTTGGGAACCATGCTGTGCACGAGCAGTTCCATTTGTGCAAGTAGAGGGTTCATATGCAAAACCATCCCCTTTCTCTCCTCCCCCACCGCTGCTGCTGTTCCATGGAGCCAGAAAGGTTGGGGATCACTGCCCTAAAAGATGAAAGACTCGTGTTCAAAAAGAGGTTATTTCTTATTTCACATAACAGTAGACATTGAATTTTATATTCATCAGAGATTTTTTAAAAATCACCCTATAATGAGATCTTAGATTTGTATTTTATTTTCTAGAGTATACCTAATGATTTTTATTTTCTAGATTGTACCTAAAGATTAACTCTATCTAGCCTTTGCAAAAATAAGATTTCCTCCAGCATTGATTTCCAGCAGGTGGTGCTCCTCTTCAGTAAAAAGAACAAATTTATGTTTCAAAATGCACACGTTTCATTTAAGTCAATGTTCTTACCTGGCAAAAGATTTTTTCATGTTGCAGTTCTTACTCAAAATAATTTATTTCAACCCTGAATTTTTTATTATCACTATGGGGGGGGGGGGGGGGGCGGGACCTCATAACAAAATTATATTTACAAAAGCTTTCCCGCTAAGTTTCAGTGGTCCCTAAAGGCATCTTCATTAGTATCACTGCATCATTAATCATGCAGAGTAATTTAGAAATAATTTTCCATGTCACAATTATGAAAATGAACGCTATCATAATAGTTACATTCTTAATATGAGATTGCATTATGAATATAAATAGCAGCAATCCATTAGAGTTATATTAATTATTCCAGAGTTATTGGTATAATACACCCTATAATACACACATTCTTTAACCTTAAAGGGATAGAGAATGGAAAATCTTTCAGTGTTAAATTCTATTCACTTATTGTACAGAAGTCTTCAACTCTAAGCTATATAAATATAAATGGGTTGTTTGTATCTGTCTAGAATTGTCTTCAAATTATTTTTGTTCAAATCATATCAAATTATGTCTAAGAATTCTCCTGTTCAGAAACAAATGACCTGAACTCTCTCCATCAAAAAATAAAATAGAAATAATAGCATGGAGAGCCAATTTAGTGTAGTGATTAAGACACTTGGCTAGAAACTGGGAGATTGTCAGTTCTTGTCACACCTTTAGATGACATTGATTGATTCTCTCACTTTAAGCCCTAGAAAGGAAACAATGGCAAACCACTGAAATTTGCCAAGGAAACTGCAGGGACTTGTCCAGGCAGCCCCCAGGAATCTACATTGTCTCAAAAGACACACACACACAAACCAACCAAAAAATATATCATGAGGGAAAATAAGTGTATTAAAAAGGAATCAAGCGTCATCACTGTGGCTTGATAGCATCTTTTAGTAGCTCAAAGCATAACGTATTCAGTATGGCATAAAAGCTTGTGGATTACATTAGATGCATGAAATGTTGTCATCCTGAGTTCAGATTACCTGAGCTTCAGATGGTAATGGCAGATTAATTCTTGATGGCTGCTTGGTCCTCGACGCTTTTGGTAGACGCTTAACTGATACAATATCTTGATTTGGTTGAACTTTACCAGGCGATAAAACTGAATAATGTCTATTTGGTGTTCCAGTAAGTATCCGTATATGTTTTAACTTCTGTTTAAAAATTGAAGCTTTAAGAGGATGAAGTTCTCTGGATGAAGGACAAGCATCCACAGTCAAGTAATTAATTATTTTTGCACCAATAGTAGTTTGTGGACTAAACCAGTTTGAATTGTCCATGCAATTGCTAGTAAAATTAGAAGTTGCCTCTGGGATGCATCGCCTGAGATATCTATTTACTGATAGCAAGTTGTTGCTTGATGCTAAATATCCATAAGTAGGGAAGTATCGGCACTGGCTTATTGTATATGAAGATCTAGCCAGGAATCCCAGTAGTTTCACTGCCATCTTTTCATTGAGACTCAAATAAGATAATTACAGAACATTAATTTTCTAAAAAGGAAAAAAAGTTTACAAAAGAGGTTTGCAGAGCATCTTACAAAAACTAATTAATACAGCCCACATTGTATTTGTAATCTGAGTTTTAAAGAAACCAGCCAAGGAGATAACTATCTACCCTTCAGGGATACAGAGATTCCAGGAATACTGCTTTATTGCTGTAGAGTGTGACAAGAACATCTTGAAAACCTCTCCAAATATATCTTTGTCCCTTCTTATTCTATTAGCGTTCTAGGTGGGGTTTCTGAGTTTCTTTTTCATATATGCTTCTGCTGTATGTAACTGCTTCTCCATGCCTTTTCTTAAAGATCTTATTGTATTATATAGATCACTTCTACATTCCTTTGGAATAACAATTTCTGTGTTAACCAATTTAATGGACAATTAAGTATCTAATAATTTTAATGGATAATAATTTTATCTAATAATAATTTTATCTAATAATTCACAAACTGAATAACATCTATCAAAGAAGAGATTTATTTCCCTTATCAACCATACTTCTTTGGGGCATGGCCACCAAAATCCATGTGCATGCGCACATACATACATATGGTCAGGCAAAATTTCTCAAACAGCCAAGATGAGCCTACCAGATAATATTGTTGCTATAATGCTTTAAAGAAGGGTACTTAGCTTGTTTCAGTGCATTTTGTAAAAAACCCTTTTAAATGCTCTGCATACCCTTCTCACTCTACTATTCTAAACAAGTTGGAATATATTCTTACATCTCAGGTTCTCAAAACAATGAGTAACATTGAGTAGAAAACATGGAGGGAAGAGCTTCCAGATCTCAAAACATTTGGGAACTTGCTTGGCAAAACAAAGTTTAACATTGCAATTATAATTGTCTCAAATGAAGGAATGGTTTTGATTTGAAATCCGAAGAGATATAGAGAAGATAGAATGAAATTCTAGGGATCAAAACAATGTTACAAAGTCTTGCATTTCTAAGACCTACTATAGACATTCTTTTCTACAGAGGAGCCAGTGTCCTTTAAATAAATGCACATGTGTGTGCACATGTAAGATGCAAATGAGTTCTCTTCTTTGTAGGTGACTGGACACATTGAACATGCCAGAATAAAGAACAACCTCAAATGGAGAGAATCTGAAAATTTGGCAGATAATGAAATTTTGTTCTTACTTAAGTTATTTCCAGTATTTTAAGTACAGTTGCACACTTGCATGCAAAAGTTTAGATAGCCCTGTTCAAACTGTCTCTTTCAGTGAGTGAATGAAAAAAAAAGCTGACAATCTCTACATTGAACAAACTTGATTGATTGCATATTTACTATTTATGTGCAGTGTCCATAGAAGGTGCAAATATTTGGATTCTTTCAGCCAATATTATGCAATGCTTCCTTTAGCAGAAATAACAGATTCCAAGTGTTTGCCATGGCTAAGTCTTTTAATTCTTGTTTTTGAAAATTTTCTCTACTCTTAAATAACTAATCTAGCTCAGAAATATTCTCAGATCTCTTTGCATGCACTGTATATTGAAATCTTCCTTAAAGTTTGCAACTATACAATTGCACAACTAGAATCCAAAGACCACTCCAATTTTTTTATCTTTCTTTTCTATAAGTACTTCATGGTTGCTTTGGATGTTAAAATCTCTGTACCTGTCAAATTCTGCCCTCTTATTTTGAATAACTGATAACTCTCTTTTGGGATGGAAGTCCAGAGTTTAGGGACACTGACTGAAAAGTCTTTGCAATTCCAATGAAACAGATCTCAGATGTTGGCAGAATAGAGTACAAGGCTTTTAAAAATTCAGATACCTCATAGAGAGGAATGCAATCCTTCAGATAACTTGGCCCAAAGTCAAAATTAAATTTTAAGCATGCTGTGAACTGTTTACAAGTAGTTCCTAACTTATGACCATAACTGAACCCACAGTTTTGATCGTAAGTTGTATTGATTGTAAAATAGACCACCATGTAACTGCACCTGATTTTACCTTTTTTGCAGTGGTTGTTAAGCAAATGCTGTGGTCATAAAGCAAATGCTGCTGTCATTAAGTGAATCTATTGTTCTATATGGAATCATTTTTACTAGAATCAGGAAATAAATGCCAGTTTCCCATAAAAAGTGGTATAAATCATAATCACATGACCATGGGGAACTGCAAAAAGCCGTAATCTATAAAAATATCTACTTAGAAAATGCCTGTTTCTTTCAAATGTAGATTAAACATAAATCTATTCAAATATACACATGGCAAACAATATAATGTATAATAAAATTATAATATAAAGTTTTAATATACTGTAAATATAAAAGGATGTATAAGAGTGCTCATGATAAAATACAAAGTTATAATATAAAGTTATATAAAATATAAACACATTTATAGGACTGCTAACAATAAATGCTAGAACCAAGGAAAGAAGTTATGAAAATGAAATCACATTTATGAGAATGTTAAAAAAAATACATTTTTTGAACATAGTACACATGGTTTAGTTGGCAAAAATTTTAAATATGGCCATTATGTAACTTGTTTTGGGCACAAAAACTGTATAGATGAATAGGAATAGCATTCTTTCAAAGGAAAAAATAAGAAGAATGGGTGGAAAAACTATAGACAAAATTGTTAAGTAATGCTGGAAAGCAATACTTGTAGAATTCCAAATGAAAGTGACAATGGGCAACATTTCAAGAGCAGTCTAAATATGCTAGGCATGGAGATGCAGACCATAATTTTTGCTCCTCAGTAGGTTAATGAGAAAATGAGTTTACCATAGATTTACTGTTTTATAGCCAACATAGCCAAGTGACTAATCTTGAACTGTGAAATATTTTGCACAAATGTCCCCAAATATAAATTGCTAAATTAGGTAAGATTGGTATACCATTCATTCATTCATTCATTCATTCTATATACCCCATCTCACTTGAATAACTCACAACAAATAAAAAACCAAGACTCAAATAAAAACTAGTTAAAAACAAATATACTAGCATATAAAGGAATCAATAATCACTTAAAAAATAACCATGGTGAATAGCAATCCATCCTTGTGTCAGCTCAACACAGGCACCGTACACATTCCCCACCACTGCTGGAATACTAAGCATGGTGGCAAAGTCATATCTTCATGGCCTTCCTGAAGGCTGGGCCAAAGTTTTGAGGGAATGGTGTTCAAAAGGACAAATGCCACAGCAGAAATGCTTTTAGTCATGCTCCTGCTAGATCAGGGGTGTCAAACAAGGCTGCGGGCCAGATCTGGCCTGCGGGGTGCCTAGAGTGACGGCCTCCTGCAACTTTCTGCCAGCAAAAAGAGCTTAGTTTTTGCTGGCAGAGCGTTCAGGCCACCACAGGTTTCTCCAATGACATCGAGCTAGCCATGCCCCCCATGGCCATGCCCACCTGCCCCCCCTCCCCCCAGAGGTCAAACCCAAACCTCAATGAAATGGAGTTTGATACCCCTGTGCTAGATGATACACTTTCATAAATGGGACCCATTGCATGTTTCTCCTGCCAACCCTGAGTGGATGGTTCCAAGAAGAGGCAGTCTCTCAAATGAGGAAGTAAAGCATGCATAAGAATAAGTAGAATGCCTAATAAATATTTTATCATGAGCAGAGTATAAGACAGGGAAGTGTGCCTTTTTTGCTGTTTATTTGTGGATAATATACTATATATATAGTATAAGGAATGCTTGAAGCTAGAAGTGTGTTAATGGGGACATCTTATGTATAAGCACCTTTCCACCTGGATGATGCCATGGTGTTGGCTGAAAACTTATGTTACACAGGCCGCAAGATCTTATAATAGGTTTAGGTTAAAAGTTGCTGCATCTTGTTGAAGTTAAATGCCAATAGTGTTATACCATCTTAATTCAAGGGGATCCATTCCCTTTAACCCATGTTCAGGACCAACATGACCCAAAATATTTCCTTATCTTGTTGATCCTGAGTATGGTACAAAAAGTATTTCATAGAAAGTTATCTCATAAACCAAAGCTTTCAATCTCCAATTTTGAAAATTCATTTTGCATATTTCTTCACAACTCTCAAGCACTTCACTTCATCAGTATTTTCTTGATTTAACATATCTACAGTCTTCAACTATGACAGTAAATCATGTGGGCTACATACCCATTAAAAAACCCAACTATCTATTTCTCTAATGAGTACTTGGAGCAAAGTAGTAATCTTTGGATTATCTGGATTTGTGGCATTCTGGATTCAGGCCTGGACATAGAATGGAAACAGCACTGGTTATACTCACAGTTAACTTTTGTAGGATGTGTAGGGAGGAGCATGACCGTCCTTGTATTGCTGGACCTCACAGCAGCCTTCAATCCCGTTACCCATGATTATCCTTTAGTTGTTTTCTTTCTTTCCTGAGTGGGGCCAATCAATGGTGGTAGGAAAAGAGAGGCTGGACTCTTGGTCTCTGTTATAAAACAGAGTTTTATTCTTTATCCTATCCTGCTCAATATATACATGAAACTGCTGAGGAAGGTCATAATTAATTTCATGGCAAGAGATCATCAATAGATAGATGAAGCCTGTTATGTATCTCCACCTCCAACTCAATGGGAGATGTGCCAGAAGTTCTCATTTGATGTCTGGATGGGAAAATATGAGCTTAGACTCAACCCAAGGAAGATAGCTATTGATTCGGAAACCTACTGATTGCAAGACAATACGAACCATGATCCTAAAAGGGGCTAGTACAGAGAGCACTGCTTGCAGTCTTGGGTCCTTCTGGACTTACAACTCCTGCTAAAAGAGCAGATGATCAGGAGGGCCTCAGCTCATTTCAATGCAAACAATTTCTCATGCCCTTTATTATTCTTGAATGGATTATCATAATTGACTTTACATGGAGCTGCCCTTAAAGACAGCTCAGAAAATTCACCTAATACAAAAACAGTACCTATGTGTTTATTAGGCAATCATGTTACTAACATATTACATCATTGCTGTGAAGCTTCTAATTATTGATATATTTCTGGATGTAATTCGAAGTGGTGTTTATTTTTGCAATTTCACTGGTGCATTTCTGGGAGACGTCCATGGAGCTTTGAAAAAGCACCATTGGACATTTCTGGGAGATGAGGGAGATGCTGTGGGGAACCCCACCCCTTTGAAAAAAAATAAGGATAGCTTCCAATGTCAAGACCTTTTGGAAGCTTGTAAAATGGTGAGTTTTCTAGAGGACTTGTTAATATTACCTGAAATATTATAACTAGCATTTGTTTTAATTAGTACATGTACACAGCTACAGTTAGAACCAATGCAGTAATGAATTGCACTAATGAATAAATGTTAATTGAGTTATTCTACACGCAAATGATCTACTCTTATTCTGGATCAAAGTTTGAAAGCAATAAAGAACTAAACAAGGACCACTAAGTGTTAAAATGCATCTCAACAAGACCGGAGTTCTAAAGCTGATTTGTTACTAAGTACAGGGATTGGCCAATCATATTGTTTTGAATCATATTGTTTTATAAAGAATATTTTACAAAAACCTGAGCATGTTCTTAGAATTAGGCCCTTTTTTGTTGTTCCATTAATAGAAGAGTGCAACTGAATAAGGCCAGAAAATAGATTCTTCTTAGTTGAGCAATCCGGAAAGTTGAAGGGTTCCTCTAAAAACATTCCGTTGCCAAGTCACAGACCACTCAGTAAAAAGTCTAAATTTTATTAGATCTGAGGATCCACTTTAAGAATCTATCTATGGTATCTAGGTGGTCCAATATTACAGAATTTTAACTTAATCTGCCACATGTTTTCATAAAAAAAAAATAATCTACGTGAAAGTAAACTAATAGTTTAAACTGCCTGCATTCTGAAACAATTTCAAGAATTGTTGGATGCAGACCCCCTGGGAGTAACATAATAACCTACAAAACATAGCGGGGCTGCATTGTATTAATATAGCTACAAGTAGTATACCTAACAGAGTATGGTCTTATCTTCTCTCCAAACTCAACATTTGAAGGGAAGCTCGATTAAGTCGCATCCAGACCTCTGCCCAAAACCATCCAACTGGTTCATCCAACTTAGTTCACAGGCAAAAGAATGTAGAGCGGTAATTTGATGCTCAAAACCGCCATTTGCTCACATGTCTTGTCAACTGCAGGTAGAAAGTGAATCCTCAAAACATCAGGACCCCGGCTTGACTATTACCTTTGTTTGGTCCATCAGTTTGCGCTGACGACATAAATACCTCACGACTCTTGAATATCTCGCCGAAAGGTGTTCAAAAGGGAGGCCCGACCCAAACCCGAACCCCCCCTTTTTTTTATAGGCAGGGTTTTTTTTTAAATAGGGTGGAAGAAACTTCGTAATGTTATTCTCTGAAATTCGTCTCATGAAAGGAAGCGCGGACCCACTACCAAATAGTGTCACCGACTTGATTACGACCGAAAATCGTCTTGATTGAATACCAATTTAAATCTCTTCCTTAATTCGGATCGTGAGGGTAAAACAGCAGGGACCGCCTAACAAAAAAATAAACCACCAATAAAACCCATTTTAGCCATATTTTGATTCCAATAGAAAAACAGAAACTAAGCAGCCTATAGGAAAAGGCGTCTCTCCTTCCTCACAACCTCGGTCAGGCCCTGACCTGGAGTGGCCCGCCCAGCTAGGAAGCTCCCCGCTTCCTCTAGCTGAGGTGGCCACAGCCAGGTTCAAGGCAGAGAGAAAGATATATCAAACGGCCGGCCTCGAGCTCCATTACCTGAACGACAAACCCTCTCGCGCCTCTTAAGAGCTGCAAAACACCACACCGATTTCTGCCCCGTCCGCCACGTGCTGGCTTCGTCCAATCATGCTCTCCGCCTCGCCTCTCTTTGGATCCACCCCTATAACTCCCCACCCAACCAAGAGCGCGGAAGAAAAGCTCGCGCCTCGCCGTCAGGTGACTCACATGGCTTTTCCCGTCCTCTTCCTTTCCCCGTCCTCTTCACCCCGCCCCACTCGCCCGCAGCTTTCCTTCCCGTGCCTCTCCTTTTTGACCAATAAACGCACCAAGTCCATCGGCCAATAGGAAGGAGAGTTGGCTCGGAAGTTG